AAAAATGAAAGCGAAATGACAATAGCAGAAAGGGTGAAATACAAGAAGAAAGGGAGAACGGTTAAATGGAGAAATTTGGAAGAAGGAATGAATAAATGGCGGTCGAAAGAGAAGGAAAAAGTATATGGAAATGCTGGATGAAAGAAGAGGAGTTAGAAAAGCAAAGGGGTAAAGAATAAAGGAAACAAAAGGAAAATAAACGAAGTAGGAATAAAATATGCAATGGAGGAAGAAAGTAAACAAAGAAAGGATAATAGAAAGGAAGAAAAATAAAAAACAAATGGAGAAAAAGAAAACAAAGCAAGAAATAAGGAAGAAAGGAGAGAAAGAAAGAGATAAAGAAACGATAGGGAAGAATGAAAAAAGAAAGAAAGAAAAGGAACAAAGGAAAAAGAAAATAATGAGAAATGAAGGAAGGAAGGAAGGAAGGGAGAAAGGAAGTAAAGAACGAAAGAAGCAGGAAAGGAAAAATGCAAGGAAGTAAATAAAAAAAGAAAAAGAAAAAGAAAAAATGCAACCTAAAAAAAGAAACAAAATAGAACAAACAAATCCGAGGAAGAAGCAAAGAAACTAAATAAATACAAAGAGTATCATTCCGTATTGAGATGAGGTATTATGATTACTTTCATTATTTACATTATTCAGACTGTTATCGTCATCTTCATTGCCATATTCACAACGTCTCGGCCTCTATATCTCTGAGATGAGGTATTATGATTACTTGCATTATTTACATTATTCAGGCTGTCATCCTCATCTTCCTTACCATATTCACAACGTTTCGGCCTCTATATCTCTGAGATGAGGTATTATGATTACTTGCATTATTTACATTATTCAGACTGTTATCATCATCTTCATTACCATATTCACAACGTCTCGGCCTCTATATCTCTGAGATGAGGTATTATGATTACTTGCATTATTTACATTATTCAGACTGTTATCATCATCTTCATTACCATATTCACAACGTCTCGGCCTCTATATCTCTGAGATGAGGTATTATGATTACTTGCTTTATTTACATTATTTGGTTGGTTATCTTCATCTTCATTGTCACATACAGCATCATATGCTCTAATAGGAAATAACATTCTCCTCTTATCATCAGTGCATTGGGCTCAGGAGGGAAAGCAGGATCCCTGTCTTCTATTAGTAAATTCGTCTGAGATGTGCTATGGAATGCTTGAATGATCAGTGCCCATCTCTTCACATCTGTGCTTGTAAGTGGGCAATGCATAGTATAGAAAAAGTTTAAATAGACAGGGGCTATCATTTTCTAGTTTTCGTATTCCTGATGACGTTTGAAATCTCTCCGTATTGGGGTCCTCGCCAGATATGTTCATTAATACTTTCACTTTCAATTTGAGATCAAATTGAGATACCTCGCTATATGTGAGAATCTTAAAGGTTACGTTTAATGCATGATAAACACCACTTTTAGGAGATGAGTTTGCGACTGCAGCTTTCCATAATAACATTGAGAAACTTCTTACAGTAGAATCCCTCATAACCGGAATCCCTCATATCCGGAATCTTTCATATTCGGAATCCCTCATATCCGGAGTTCTTCATATCCAGAGTGCCTCATATCCGGAATCCCGCATATCCAGAATCCCTCATATCCAGGGTTCTTCATATCCGGAATCCTGGTTATCCGAATATAATTTTGATGTGTACATTTGAACTATTTGGGTGATATGTAACTGATTTGAAATTTATGTCTTTCAGGAAATTTACTTATGCTTATCCCCCCCCCCATTAATGGCTTGTATTGGTGCAAAAGATGATGGGAATAAGAGGAAAGGATGACAACGAGACACACCTGCAACAAGATAGCGACGAGATGCATAATTGTGATGAAACCTGGACTGAAATTGAAAAAGCTATTGAATAGGTTGTCAGTTTTATGGAAAGAAAGCCAGCATTCCACAATGGTGATTGCAATAACGCACGCAGAGTTAAAAATTGTCTTTAGTTTTAAAAAGATTCAAGATGAAGACGAAATGTGGAAAAAGTTGAGAATGACATTAGAAGAGAAAAAATCAAAATGCAACAGCGATTAAAAAATCCTCGTCACATTATTTGTTTTGCATACGTGGCATACTTAATTTAATGAATTTTTATTAAGATTACATAATTTATTTCTTTTTCCTTAAAATCATTTCCGTGATATTTCACTCACCGTTAGCTTATTTTGTTTACTATAAAACACTGAAAATACATTTTAAACCTGATTTCAGTTCTTTTATTTTAATCTAAATATAATCCCTTATATTCGGACTTCGTAATCAATTTCTCATATCCGGAAGGCATTTTTAGTTTGGTTGTCAGGGATTCTACTGTATTGAATTCGCGGAGAAAGTCAGTTATTTTCAAAAGCTCAACCTCATTGTCAAGTGACACTTTATTATTATTTAGTTTTTTAATAGCATTCTTAATTTCCTCACCTGTAGTTTCTTTATTGTTTGTAATTGAAGAAATAATTTGTGATAATTAGATGTTTATTGATATATATTTTATTTCTAGGCATCTTTAGTTTAGTGTTGGTCAGAGTTGAAATGTAAGACAAAGTGTTTTTGAGACCAAGATGTTTCTTCTCTGTTGGTTTTCATTCTATGCTGTTATTGTCAGTTTTCGCGTTTCTCCATATTTTAACACATTGTCTATGCTGCATGGCGCCATTAATTTCGTTACGAATTTTTCGAAGATATTGATTTCTCAAAGATGTTACTAGATATTTATTTTCTTTGTTAATTGTTTAATATTTTTCATCAATTTTTCTTCATCTTCTCTTTCTTTCTTTCTTGAATAAATTATTTCTACTCGGGATTGCTGTCCCATTGTATACCTTTTTATTCTTTTAGTTAGCCTTGGAACGGTTTCCCGAGCTTCAGTTAATAAAAATAGAATAACATTATTTTAATTCCTCTACGTTGTTTTGATAAAAATATTTGACATCAATTTAGAGTATAATCTTATATATAAAGTACAGTGCATGTGTGTTTGTTCGTGTCCAAGCAACTCCTCCGCTCCCACTGATCCGATTTCAATGATTCATAGCTCATTCAAAAGCCCTAGAAAAGTTAGGCATGGGAGACGATTTTCGTTGAGTTCAGCTTCGTTGCTGTCGTAGTTCAAGGGGAGTAACTCTTATTTTTCTTTTGTATCCCAAATTGCAGCTAGCTTAAAATTTGTAAGCTAGGTTAAAAGCCGCATTATCCGGCGGCATTTAAGCTAGCTCCTGTGGAGGACTCTTGGTTTGGCTATCATCACAATAGCTAGAGAGAAGCATATGCGATATGCATCAATAAACTACTGAAGGACTCGCTGCATTTAAGTACTGAATTAATGTTTAAGCTTACCTTTTAAAAGTTCAACGATAATTCTTCTGCTGCCACTAAATTAAAGACGATTTGATGTACGTAGGTCCTTATTTCCATACAAACAATTATTTTTATTTCATGGGTGACAAAACAGGGGACAATTTATAGGATAAAATTAATATACTGCAAAGATGGGTAAAAAGAAATCAGAATTACTTATACATTCAACGTTTGAAAAGGTGGAGAAACATTAATTAATTAAACCCTATATTATGGAATCTATATGAATAAATGCAAAATTGGAGCTCAATTCTCACCCTACCACGAGGTCAGGTTGTGACACAAGGTCGGTTTACTGTGGGGAGCCCGAGCGCATACACCCGGGCTAGGAACAAAAATAGCCCGAGCCCCTGCAACCGTCGTTTGCGCTGCTCACGGTGCGAGAACCGATCCCTCTCTCTGGTGGAATGGAAAGGTGCGGCCTCGGGCAGCTGTTGCCTAGAGCTGGACACCTGTCAGTATAATTTTCCTCAGAGCGCACTCTGCCTAAAGACAGAGACATAACTGAGAGATGATAAATAAATGTGTTACAAACTACTCGAGAGTAAATTGTATTTATTTTGTGGACATGTGAACACCAGCAATTAAGAGGTGGTTCCTCGCTCCTCAAAACCTCCTGATCAGAGGCCTTGCTGTTGGATGCAGTTTATCGTCTTACCCAGGTCGCGGATACAGTTTATCATCTTACCCAGGTCGCGGATGCAGTTTATCGTCTTACCCAGGACGCGGATGCAGTTTATCGTCTTACCCAGGACGCGGATGTAGTTTATCGTCTTACCTAGGACGCGGATGCAGTTCATCGTCTTACCCAGAACGCGGATGTAGTTTATCGTCTTATCCAGGTCGGAATGATATTAGGAAAAAATATTAAATCACAATTATATTTGTTAACACACAAATTGTTCGTCTGCTTTCAAAGAATCTTATATTAAAAAAAATACGAATAAACTTTTTCCTTCCTATAGTAAATAGGGCATAAAATAATGCAAATTAATAACAATCACACGCACTGTTTTATAGAAAAATAGAAATTTCTTAACCGTTTTTAGAAAACTTAAATCAGAATGAAGAAAAAACAAAGGAATCAATGAAAGAAGCAAAGATATAACGAAAGAATGAGGCAAAGCAACAAATCCAGAAAGGAAATATACAAAGTACAAAACAAGTAAAAAAGAAACAAACTAAAGAAGAAATAAAGGAAAGTTTTAAATAATAGTTTATCAGACTATTATTCTTAGTAGGAGTGTATCTTGGATTCAACTTCCGGAGGTTGACCTTCGAGGCCAGATAGAAGCCATAATAAGGGAGTCGAATCTTAACCGTCAAGCAATGTAAATGTGTTCTCTTACGTGTCTGAAACGGCTATCCAGTGAGGAAGAACGATCCCCACTGGATAGTTAGTATATGTAGACATTAATAAAAATAGTTAAGTTTAAAATTATACGTGTTTGATGTCATTCATTACTGCCTCAAAACATCTAGCTAACACCGGCCGAGAGAAATGATACAACATCATTATCGAATTGGCGTCGTTGATCTCCCACCATGAGGGTCTATACAACAAAAGTAACAACAAAATAGAATAAGAAATGAAGCGCGGGAGAAATGTTGCTATGAGCCAATGAAGTAAATATGAAATGAAGAAAAATCAAAGAAGGAATGAAGGAAACAGTAAAGAAAGGACGAAAGAAGAACAGAAGATAATAAGAAGTTAAACAAAAGATTTAAAAGGGAAAGAAAAATGGATGAAAGCAAAGAAATAAAGAAAATCAAAACACTGAAGAAAAAATAGTAAAGAATGAAAAATGAAAAAGGTAAAGAAGGAATAAAGTTAAAAAAAAAAAATTAACGAACTCTGAATGAAGCAAAGCAGATTCACGAGTATTATATGAGATACAAAGAGAATAAGCGATGTAAAGAAAAGGCTATAAAAACGAAGGTAAAAAGAAAGGAAATATAGACGTAAAGAATGAACAAAAGAAGAAACGAAACTAAGTAAAGAAAGAAAATAAACGAAACAAATGATAAATGAAGCAAGAACAAACAAAATGAAAAAATAACGAAGCAGGTAAACTTTTATGATCCCTTGCGAATCCGCGTCGACACTTTTTGTGATATTATTTACATTATTCGGACTATTGTCCTCATCTTTGTCGCCATATTTATCACAATGTTTCGGCGCTTCAGTATCTGTCTATATTTCTGAGATGAAGTATTATGTACACTATTTACATTATTCGGACTATTGTCCTCATCATTGTCCCCATATTTATCACAATGTTTCGGCGCTTCAGTATCTGTCTATATTTCTGAGATGAAGTATTATGTACACTATTTACATTATTCGGACTATTGTCCTCATCTTTGTCGCCATATTTATCACAATGTTTCGGCCCTTCAGTATCTGTCTATTACTGAGATGAGCTATTATGTACACTATTTACATTATTCGGACTATTGTCCTCATCTTTGTTGCCATATTTATCACAATGTTTCGGCCCTTAAGTATCTGTCTATATTTCTGAGATGAGGTATTATGTACACTATTTACATTATTCGGACTATTGACCTCATCTTTGACGCCATATTTATCACAAAGTTTTGGCGCTTCAGTATCTGTCTATATTTCTTAGATGATGTATTATATACATTATTTACATTATTCGGACTATTGACCTCATCTATGTTGCCATATTTATCACAACGTTTCGGCCCTTCAGTATCTGTCTATATTTCTGAGATGATGTATTATATACACTATTTACATTATTCGGACTATTGTCCTCATCTTTGTCGCCATATTTATCACAATGTTTCGGCGCTTCAGTATCTGTCTATATTTCTGAGATGAAGTATTATGTACACTATTTACATTATTCGGACTATTGTCCTCATCTTTGTCGCCATATTTATCACAATGTTTCGGCGCTTCAGTATCTGTCTATATTTCTGAGATGAAGTATTATGTACACTATTTACATTATTCGGACTATTGTCCTCATCTTTGTCGCCATATTTATTACAACGTTTCGGCCATTCAGTATCTGTCTATATTTCTGAGATGAGGTATTATGTACATTATTTACATTATTCGGACTATTGTCCTCATCTTTGTCGCCATATTTATCACAACGTTGTACGCTCCGGCCTTCGTCAGGTGGTTGGAATTTCGAACTGAACCCTTTATTCCGCTCACTGGAGTAGACTGTTCTAGTTCCACGTGCCATGTTTGATGGATGTCAGTTATCAGTTATCTCCTGCTAATTTCCCTCTGAAAGTTCTCCACTGCCTTAACCGGGTATTGAACTCACACTATTGGGTCCTGTCACTGGATCTAACCAACGCCTTTATCCACTATGCCATGTGTCCTTGAGGACATCTGGGTATGAAGAAGGCCGGAACGTACAACGGCCGAAACGTTGTGATAAATATGGCGACAAAGATGAGGACAATAGTCCAAATAATCTAAATAATATACATAATGCATCATCTCAGAAATATAGACAGACATTTTGTGATGTTAGACAGCTTCGCTTGTCACTTTTGCTATGTTAAGCGAAATCTCGTTATCACTCCCGCACATGCTTGTTATATTCGAGACTTCATAGACACCGGTACTAGTAGTCACACCTTCCATTAATATCCGTGCTAGTAATACTTGTTCAAGTAGTAATCGCCAAATAGTATAATGATCAGAAGAGAATCGTAATCCATATAGTAGTAGAGTAGAGAGAGTGAATGTATAGCAAGAATGGATAGACAAGAAGTGTGAACAGTGATAATATTTATTGTACAGAAGTAAAAATGTGGCACAAGGCCAAAAGGGGGAATGGGGAAAAGGATGGTCTTCTTCTGTCTTACCGTATAACTTAGCTAGCCACAAACAGTGACCCAACCGTACCACAATATTCCTTCCACCAAAACAACACATCCTTACTTACCATTCTTACCACGTCCACCATAATGCCTCAAGTGTGAACAGTAGTCGTTCACTCATCACACTATTTCCTATTTATTCACTTTAAATTATTTTTTATTCCTTTTCAGCACGCTTGAAATTTTGGTTGAAAATCTTTTCTTTTTTTTTTTTTAGGTCAGAGGTTACCTAATATTTAGCATTAGTTTTTTTAGCGCCTTTTTCAGTTGAAAACACATTAATGTAGAAATTATTACAAAAATCAAATAATTGTCGGAATTCAATGACATTTTTAGAACTTATTCAAAATTGAATGAATTTATTTTAAAATGTTTGTTTTTTTTAGAAAGTCAGGATAAAAATATTTTACTTAATTTTATGAAAACTTTAAAACTAGTAACTGTAGAACTCTGTAATTTTTAATTAAATAAAAAGGCTTTGAGGAATATAAATAATCAATCTTTTTTAAAATTCTAATCGCAACAACCCAAACTTTAACGCTGAATTTAAAATACAAAACTCAATAAAACTAAGACTAAAAAAAGCTTTTAATGGCTTTTATGAATAATATATATTAAGGACTTTTTGTCTGAAGGCAAGATTTTTTTTGATTGAAAAATTAATTTTTAAAAGAATTATTTCCTTTTTTTCAATTATATATAACAAAAATGATAGAATTGATGATTATTTTAAAATTAAATTTAAAGCTGTATAGCTATAGAAAGGCTCCTATTAAAAAGGCCTATTTTTACAGATCCTAAATTAGAAAGATTATTAAAATCTATTACATGCATTTATTTTTAAAATAATTTTTTTATTATGACAAAAAATGTATTAAAATCGTCTCCTACAAAACTATGGATGCACATTTCTGAAAAAAATTACGTGTGCTAGAGTTTTTTCCCCTGATTGCATGATTGCATTTCACTTAAAATTACCATAAATTTTGTCACTTTTGTCCTACCATCCGATAAATTCCCCTGACTTAAGTTGTCGATACGTTGACATATGTCAGTTCACACCTCCCAAAAAATCAATTAATACGGTTGGACATTTATTCTTAAAAAAAATTCTTTTAAATTACATTAAGTATACTTTAAATTTTCTAATTTTTCTAAAATAACTTTCGAAAAAAGTATATTTGAATTTTACAAAATTTTTAAACGGGAAATTTGACTTTTGTTTATAAAACTGTCAATAAAGGAAGACGATGTTTAATTTTAGTTAATTTTGATGACTCAAAAAAAAAAGAAGATTTTTAGCTAAAATTTCGGACGTGCTAGAAAAGATTAAAATTTAAAAAAAAATACTCAAAATTACTTTGGTCTTTCTTCTTAATAATGACATAAACATTTAGTCAATACAATTTTTTTAATTAAGTTTGGGGCTTTTTTTCATCTGGGTGTTCTCTTTTTTTAGCGAAGTTTTGGACATTCCTAGAATTAATTAATGAAGAAACGAAGCAAAAAAGGAAATAATTACTGTCGAAGAAAAAATAAGAATCGGAACATGAATGAGAAAGTGACTTTTGTTTATATAACTGTCAATAACGGATGACGATGATTGATTTTATGTACTCTATACTGATGCCATGTTGGACAGTAAGATTGTATAAAATAAACAATTCAACGAGGATCGGAAGACATCGCAGAGTCCAAAGAACCCATTGTAATATCAAAATGGTCTCCTGAATTATTCTGCATCCATGTTTCTTGTTATAGATAATAATATTACCAGAAATACATTTTTGAAGGAAAAAATTTGACAAAACAAAATATTACCATCAATAAAAATTTTGTCGGCATTAAATAACCCATTCAGTTTGATATGCTGTAATGAAGAAGTAATGAATGAAAAAAACAAAACAAAGATGAAATAAACCAAAGAAAAAGGAACGAACAAAAAACTAAATGAAACAAAGAAAAGAAGAAGGAATTACGGAAGAAATGAAGCAGAGAAGAAAGAATTTCAATACGAAGAAAGAACGGCGGTAAGAAAGAATGAATAAAAGGACAAATTAAAATGAACGATGTCAAGAATGAATGGCGAAAAGAAACAACAAAGCAAAGACGACGCCAATGTGTAGGAAAAAAAAATACTGAACCGAACAGAATACAACCCAGAATTAAAGAGAAGACTTTACCCGGCTTTTTGACATTTTTAGGTTTTATTCAATTTAAATGAAATAGAAATCAGCGATGGCATTTAACGGCAGTATTTCTGGTAAAAGACCAAAACGTTGTCTCTAGAATCTTCAGATTTTTTCCCCTACCGATACATGTGAGAGATGCCATGCGTGTTGGATTTGTTTTGAAGTCTTTATGTGGACAAAAGATTGCGTGATTGCTTTTGTGGCTATTTTGTTTTTGTAACTATCTGTCTTTCATAGAAGAATTAAATAAATATTATATATACCATTATATATTAATAAAATAATAGATATATAATTGAAATACATAGAATTTTTTTAATGAAAAATTCTATTAACTATATTTTAAAGTAGTCATTATACAATACCTACAAATTACTGTTAATTTATTACGCTTATTTAGGAGATCATTATTTTTAGGAAACTTAATAATATGCAGCTTTTCATGTAGATACAGGGGACATAGATCATTTAAGGAATTACAAATTCTCGTCTTTTATTATTTTCTTTCATAGAAGCTATCCACACAATCAGTTGACCATTTGTTTTGATTTTATTACACAAGTAGAAATCTCATAAAAGAAAATAAAAACATCAAACTTTTCATTCCAAATGAGAAAAAAAGAAAGAAAATGTCTCAAACAAATAACACAAATGAACTTCTCTTTTGTCGATGTTTTTGCGATTTCAAAAGACGCAAAAAAAAAAAATCTCAGAGACTCTTTTGTAGCTGATCGCCTTTCATTTTACCTACATTAACGTTGGCAAGAGTGAAGTAGATCCTTGACTTTCAAAACAATCAGTGGCGGGTGTTCGGTGGCAGACTTCCAGCTGGGTTTCAACGGTCAAATTCGAGTCTCAAGTGCAATCTGAAATTAGTTCAGTCAATGCTTATATCTGTATCAATCAATCCATCCATCCATCGTCTATCTTTCTTTAAATATATATATATATATATATATATATATATATATCCGTCCTGGGTATGATGATAAACTACATCCACGTCCTGGGTAAGACGATAAACAACATCCAACAGCAAGGCCCCTGATCAGGAGGTTTTGAGGAGCGGGGAACCACCTCTTAATTGCTGACGTTCCCAGGTCCACCCTGACTCGGGGTGGTAGCACCTGTTAGGGTCCCAGCTTTGGGCAAATAGTGAACCCCGAAGCTGTGGTAAAAATGGGTTTTAATACCAGGAATACTTTGTAAAAAATATTATCAGGAATAAATTTTTGAAGAAAAAAAAATCTATTACCAGCAATACATTTTTGAAAAAAAAAAAAAAAATTACCAGCAATACATTTTTGACAAAACTAAATATTACCGGCAATAAAAACTTTGTCGGCATTAAATAACCCAATGAGTTTGATATGCCGTAAAACAGAACAAACCAAACCAAATATATACATGTGAAAAATATATAGAAAATAGGAAAGAACTCGTTATGTAGCGTGTTGGAATCATATTTTTAAATAAATAATTATATATATATATATATATATATATATATATATATATATATATGTATGTATGTGTGTGTGTGTGTGTGTGTGTGTGTGTGTGTGTGTGCATACGGAGAAAGAACAGCCATATTATGAAACCGCCATTCTTAGCATTTACAACGTAGAGGAAACGTAAAGCAAAATATTCTAATAATTTTCGATACAATGTAAAGCAAAAGATTATATTAATATTTTATTACTAAATATTATACATCGCAACAAAAATTTCTATGTTTCGGGGCTTAAAAATTGTTCCATCATCAGGCAATGCTGGGTAACTTATGATGAAAATGATTTACTTCTGAAAGCAGAAAACAATTCGGTAGCTTATTCGAGAGTTAAAAAGGAAGGGCGAACAAGATTTCAACATTTTGTGGGTATGTCTGGGTTGACCAATCAAAAGACAGATCAAATCAAAAGTTGAAAAGTGAAAAAATTTGGTTTGAAGTTTGGGGTAAGTGGGTTATTGATTCAATTCTAGATAAATTGGCATTTTTAAGGCACATCAGCACAGACGACATCCGGTTACGAATATAAATTTAAGATACAGTGAGGTAGACAGAGAGATAGATTTAACAAAAGGTCAATTTTAAAGAATTTCAAGATTTAAAAAAAATATTATATACTTTAGAACTATCTTAAAGCGGCCTCAGTGTGATTAAATCATTTTTATATATATTATTTTGAACCTAAAATACAATAGTTATTTTATTGAATGGGCAATAAAACATGGCAATATTAAAGTTGAAAAATCAAGAATTAAATAAATATTTTATGTACCATTATATATTAATAAAATAGTGGATATATAATTGTAATACATAGATTTTTTTATGAAAAATTCTATTAACTATATTTTAAAGTAGTCATTATACAATGCTTACAAATTACTGTAAATTCATTATACTCATTTAGGAGATCATTATTTTTAGGAAACTTAATAATATGCAGCTTTTCATGAAGACAAAGGAGACATGGATCATTTAAGGACTTACAAAATCTTGTTTTTTAAAATATTATCCATTTTATGGTGGGGTTTGATTTTTCAACTTTAATATTGCCATGTTTTATTGCCCATTCAATAAAATAAGTATTGTAATTTAGGCTGAAAATAATATATATAAAAAATGATTTAATCACATTGAGGCCACTTTAAGATAGTTCTAAAATATATATTTTTTTAAATCTTGAAATCCTTTAAAATTAACCTTTTGTAAAATATATCTGTCTACTTCACTGTATCTTAAATTTATATTCGTAACCTCATAAGTATAGACTATTTCAGCTAACGTCAAAGCTTTAGCTGTATTCAAATCAAATAGTGGATTGTACTCAGTCGGAACTAAAAATTTAAAATTAAATATTTAAAAAAGTGACAACAGTTAAAAACATGAAGGTATCCTGTATGAAGCTTTAGGAGATTCACGGTAAAGCTTCAGACATTGTACCTAGTGATTATGATACATTAGATCGATCAATGTCGTTAAGATTTTTCCAATATTGAGATTTCATTTCACCCTTCATTTTTCCTTTAACGTGGATTTTTTAAAGCTTAATACCGGGTACGGGTACCTAGTGACTATCATACATTAGATAGCTTAGTGACATTAAAATAAAATCGAATGCGGTAAATCAATTTTTATGTTTAGTTTTAATCTCTAAATATCGAATGTGTGCAAGTTTCATATTCAAATAATCTCACCAAGAAAGTGAAGACAAAATGGAAAAAATGCAAAAGTAAAAATCTGATATCATTATTGATAACCTTTAAAATTAATAAAGATCTTTTCTTCCTCATAAATGTGAATTTATACTCATTCCCTGATGATAAATACGAAATTTGTATACGACAAACAAATCTCTCACAGAATTACGTATTTGTATAAATAGTCAAACAGCATTGCAATTGCGCATATCATTTTACCAGTAAAAGATTTATGTTCGTTATTTTTATTATTTTTCTAGACATAATTTACCCTTACCAGGCGAGGAACAAGTTCCAAGGAGTTTGATCTCCTTTACACCGATGAATGTCGCTGGATGACAGTCAGGTGACAATTCTTGGAAATATCACCCCTTATCGGGCAAGGAGTTAATTCCAATCACGCTGATATCTTTCATACTTTTCATTTCTGAAAAAAAAAATGTGCTTTCTCGGCATTGATAATGGAATGGTTTTCCGTTACCTTCTCCATGGAGGTTTTATTGGGACACCACCTCTAGTTAGCTGTCCCTTGACTTCTCCAGATATCGTCTGCCTTTTGATAGCTTTTATTTTTTTCATCTTATAGGTTTGCTAACAAACCTCTTCACTTGCAAGGAATTGAAGTGTGTGCCGGTTTAGACGGTTTTAGTTTTAACGTAGACAAAGTGCTAAACAGTATTATTATTTTTATTATTATTAATTCTTTGGTTTTAAATTCAAAGTAACTTGGAGCTTTTCAATTTGACTTTCTCGATTTAATAGTGATATTATTTTACCAGTAGAAGATTTAAGTCCTTTATTTTCAATATTTTTCCATACAAGTTTTAATTCCCAAATAGCTAAACGCGAATTTAATTTTTTTTTGTTTTTATGCGTATGTTTCAACATATATCCTCAGGCAACTTCCGTTTTGTTCTCTTTCCTTCGTGTACCGATGTACAATTGTATTTCTCATCAATAATAAATGTGATTTCTTTTTATATTTGGAAAATGTTCTCCCCAGAGATTGGAATGTTGCCAATATGCATTTTATAATCGTACGTAAGGACGAAACTTCTGATTTTGACGAGCAAAAGAAAGAATGCACCGCGCTGTTGGTTTAGCGTTGGTTGGTAACTCTTGCAGAGAATTATTACTGCATAGTGATTCCGCATTGGGTATTCTAAACTGGAGATTTTGTGCCAAAATTAAGCTTAGTAACTGGTCATGAACACGATAAAATGAAAAAATAGAATGAAGAGACTGTAATGAGAAAACTGCAGAAAAAGATGAAAGAGAACAATTTGGTTTTTAAGATTATGTACCACCAATTTTCATTAAGGCATTATACGACTCGAAAGAGATATATATTGGGGATTCTTTAAGTTTAAGAAAAAAAGCAGCAATGAGAAAAAGATCCCCCCCCTATAGCGATCATAAACTCCTCCGATTTAAACTTCCTCGTGACGAGTAAATGTAACAGGCACTGAAGGAAGGTCAGAGGATGCACACTGATCAGAAAGAAAGATTGTACAATAATATGCTTTATTTTGGTTTGTTTTCCGGCATATCAACACCTCAATGGGTTATTTAATGCTAACAAGATTTTTATTGCTAGTAATATTTGTTTCAAAAATATATTACTGCGAATATTTTTTCTCCAAAAATGTATTTGCTGGTAATATATTGCATATCCGTTTTGGATTTTATCAAGGACCTTGAGACAAACAGAAGGGGCTCCAGACCATATATGGCAGCAA